TTATTTTTATTTAATATTATTCATCATTATTATTATTTGTTTTAATTTGATTAGAGAAAGACACACGGAGAGAGAAAGAGACAGAGAGAGAGAGAGAGTGAGAAAGCAAGTTTCCAGGGCCAAGACTTGAATCACGATGAGCCATGTGGGAGTCCAGCATCTTTAAGCACCATGCCACCTGTCAGCCCCTGTTGTTTTGTTTTTAGAACATTAGGAACTGGGCCAGCAGATGGGAGGGAGGTTAAGGCGGCTGGATACCACATGGCTGACTCTGCAGTTCGAGTCTTAGACCCGGTGGCTTGAAAAGCATGCTGGGCACATGTGCATGTGTTCCCCAAATCCTGAGAGGAGAATGGAGAGAAGGGATTGTGGCGTGGCCATCCCTCTAGGGAGTGATTTCTCTTTCCCGCTCTCTCTCTGGCAAGCGCATGCACTCCAAAGGAAAACTGAAAAACAAATCATTATTAACCACAGTCACCATGTTGTGCAGTAGATAACAAATCTCTGGAACTTAATTCATCTCATAACTGAAACTTTGCACCTCGACCCCAATGGCAGCTTCCCCAGCTCGCCAGCCAGCCAGCCTCTGGAAGACAACTCCTCTCTGCTCCCTGGACTTGGACTTTCTGGATCCCACACGTGAGTAATACCGTGTGGTTTTCGTCTTGCTGTGTCTACCTTAACTCACTTACGTAGTACCCTCCAGGTTCATCCACTTTGTAGCAAACGACGGAATCTCGCCACCCCCTTCTCTGCTATTTATTTGTGATGGGCAGTGTGTGGGTATGCATGAGAGAGGGAGAAACACCCTCCACAGGGGCTTGCCATACCACCACCGCAGACCTCCAGGCCTCTAGGTCATCGGGGTCCCGGGCATGCATGCATATGCCCAGCGTGTGTCAGGTCTGCTGGGTCCGGGGTCCGAACTTGCAGTCCACTGTGCGGCCCACAGGACTACAATTCAGTATGCTGCCAACTGTGCCCCTGGGGCTGGGCCAAGGGCGCCCCTAGGTTGGAAACCCTTCGTGTCCAGCGGCTCATCCTCGGCGTGTACTGGAGTGATGCCACTTGGCACGGAGTTGCAGACGCCGCTGACGTGCTCGTCCCGCTCCTCATAGAGGGACCGCCGCACTGGGCTGCGTAAAGGCTGCAGTCACTGCGCCCCCACCAACCACTCTGTTTTCTGGGAAGGTCTAGATGCACCCGCCCTTCCCGCATCCTCGCTGGCAGTCGTCTTTCCTCTTTTGATAAAACGTGGCCATTTGTTGTCTCAGGGGTATGCTTGCATCACCCTGCTGAGCAGTGGTGTCGAGCAGCTTTCACAAACCTGTTAGCATTTGTATGTCTTCCTGTTTTTCCCAAAGAATTATTTGATTTAATTTTATTTATTCATTCATTTATTTAAATTTGAGCAGTGAGAGACATGGGGGGTGGGGAGTAAGAAAGCAAGCCACCAGGTTCAGGACTCAAACCATCAGCCATATGGGAATGTCCAGCACCTTAATCATCACACCACCTGCTGGTCCCCTGTATATCTTCTTTTGAGAAATGTTTGTTTAGGGCCTTTGTCTTATTATTAGGGTGTCTGCACTCATTGGAGAGAGACACACAGAGAGAGAGACAAAGAAAGTGGGAAATGACCCCCCAAGGCAGATGGCCATGCCACAACCCTTCTCGTCTGCTCTCTCTGGATTTCAGATGCGCATGTGTGTGTCCGGTGGGATTTTCAAGCTGCTGGGTTTGGGGCGTAGCCTGCAGAGGCAGCCATGTGGGATCTAGGACTTCAACTACTACACTACCTGCTAGCCCTGGGCGTGCTTTTTAAATGTAAGAGAGACAGAGAGGGAAAGTGAGAAAGCACCCTCCCGGGGCAGGGGGGATAACCACATCACAATCCGTTCTCCTTTATTCTGCTCTTGAGATTTGGGGTATGCACACATGTCCAGCAAGCCTCCAGGTCCGGGACTCAAACAGCAACGCTGACCACGTGGGGTAGAGCCACTTCAACCACATGTCACCTGGCTGGCCCCTAGTTTTTTTTTTAATTGTCAGAGGGTGCATACAGTCACTAGAGACAGAGAAAGGGAGTGAGAGGGAGCAAGCACACCCAAGGGGCTTGGTCACGCCGCAATCCCCTCTCTCCCATTTCTCCACCCTGTTGGGATTTGGGCATGCACACACATGTGCCTGGCACATTTCTCAAGCCACTAGGATTTTAACTGCAGTTGGCCACGTGGGATCGGGCCACTTGCCACGGGGCTGGCTTAGTCTTTTGTGGCATTTAGTATCCTTGCCATGTCGTACCACCATTGCTGCCAGTTCCAGAACGTTCCCACACCCTGAAAGGAATTCCGTTCCCATGAACAGTCTCCTCTCCTGCCCTCCCAGTTCCGGGCACTCACTCACCTGCTCTGTCTCCGCGGACGTTTCTCACCACGTGGCCCTTGGTGTCAGGCTGTCTGCCCTCAGTGTGAGGTCTCCAAGGCCCAGCAGGTGGGAGAGGCACTAGAGCCTTGGCCCTCCAAGCATGCTCCCTCCTTCCACTGGGCTCCACGAGCACTCGCGATGCCAGGTTGACTGAATAGCGCTCCCAGTTCTCAGGCCCATGACTAGGATGGTGCGCCAGCCAGCAGGAGCCATGCTTAGCTCCCTGGGGGCCCCCATGCTGCTCGCGCGTGGCTACTGTCCCCCCAGTTCCGCCAGCTGTGTGCTCTGGCCTCCCTCCTGCGCCAAGCGCTGGTGTTAAGCAGAACTCGAGA